GACTGCATGAAGATTTGGGAGACATCTAGACCCAAACCGTAACACCCAGTATCTCAGAAAGTAACCTTAGTTGGAAGTGGGGTTATTGTAGACATACTTAGCTAAGATGAGGTCAGACTGGAATAGAGTGGGCTGCAATCCCATGAGATAAGTGTCCTTATTTAGGGGACACTGAGACTCAGACCCAGGAGGAATGCCATGGGAAGACTGAAATGTTGCTGCCACAAGCCACGGGACTCCTAGAAGTGAGGCAAACCCTAAATAGATCCTTTCCTGCAGCCTCCAGAAGGCGCTGGCCCTAGCAGCACCTTGAAATAGGAAATTTCCAGAACCGTGTGACTGGAAATACCTGTTTAAGTCACTCAGTCCGTTGGCAACCCTACCAAACCATTCCATCGCCTTTGGGCCACTCTCTGATTGCCTATTGCCCGTCCTAGTGCCTGGATTGTAGTAGGCTCTCAATGAAAATGTGTACAGCTAATTAATTGATCTGCCATTTCCTAGTAATACAGGAATAAGAGAGCAGTTCCTTCTCTCACCAGCTGTTCAGCCTTGGAGTTCCTCTGACAGCTGCCTTAGATATCTCGCTTCCACTCACTTCACCGTCTTCTAGAAAATTGTCTGCAGCTCTTTTGTGTCACTGGGAATCATTTAGCAAACCATGACGGCGGCACTCCACGTGGTTGGCAGGGTTGGGGAAAGCGCCCCTCACTGCCATGCTGGTTGCTTTGTAGGAAGACACTGAATGCAACTCCATGGCTCCGTGACTCCCACCGCCCAGCAGAGGTGGATGCTGCTTGGAAGAATAACCCAGCTCTGCGGGGCTCAGTTCCTTTTCTGCTTCCTGTCTAAATGTCCCGTCCTCTTTGTCAACAGGCCCTGCTTCTGTGAGGAAGGCTTTCCCTGGTTTCCTGCAGCCAGGAGGTGTATTAGCTTGACTCTAGGTTCCCCGGAGGCCCTGGGCCCCCATATAAACTGCATCCTTAGATTGGCCTTGCTGAACAGAGGTGGGAATGTTATGGTTCTCCGTGCACCCTGTTCATGTTTTGTATTTTTGTTCCCCTGGAGGAGGCAAGTCTAATTATTACTTCCCTCTCAACCCTGCTGCTCATACCCTGATCAAGAGGACTTTCCTCTCCCTTTCTAATATCTTGTCAGGTACCTCCAACATTATGGGAACTTAATTCATGTTTGCTAATGTACAGAGTAGCTTAAGTAAGAATAAAAAAATGAATGACAAGGTTAAACTGGGAGAACGTTGCTCGGTAATCTGTGGGATGATAAATATGATTGCACACTTCTTCAAAGACTAGACTTTTTTTCCAAGAGATATTTAACTTTCTCTTAATACTGTCATATGGAGGTAGGACAACTTTTATTTGTGCGTAGCTAACCATCTTGGATGAATTTTCTGTCTGCATGTAGAATACATTTTCATCACTTTCGCCCATTCTAATCTGCCTTGTACCCATCGCTCCACTGTAAACATTACCGTAACTGGCGCCTTAGGTCAACAGTGACCTTCCTGCTGATGGTGTCTGTGGGGCTTATGTCCTTCTTGGAAGGCTCAGAAGCTGTGGGCCCAGTTCATTCTTTTTCCCTTGTTGTCCTTGGCTTTGCTTCTCTGACACGGAGGTCAGCTGGCTTTTCCATTAGTTCCCCAGCTGCTTTCCTCATCCGCCTTTGCTGGGTCCTCTTTTTCAGTGGCCATTATGTGTTGGAATTTCTCATACAGCTCAGAAATCTAGAGATCTTGATTTCCTCTCCCTGCATTGCTGTCTTGGCTTAAATTATCATGCAGTCCAGCCATCTGCCATTGCCTTTCAAGTGGGTCTTCATGCAGACGCCCTCTCACTTGGCATCTCCACACAGGGCCTCTGGCTCGGTGTGCCCAGACTCTGCACAGGTCTGCCCTCAACAGAGTCCTCCTCCTCCTCCTCCCACGTTCCCTGTGTCCGTGAATTGCCCTGTCACCCACCAGGTCACCACAGCTTTTCCTTTTTCCTTACTTGTCTCGTTTTTGAAACTAGACAGAAGTCTACACTCTAAATATTTTGCAGATCCATTTTTCCCATCCCCGTGCCAACAGCATCTCTTGTCTGCAGCATAGAAATGGCTGAGATGGTCTGGAAACAGCTATTCTTGCCAACCTTGCATCCTCAGAATAGTCACAGGGTCTTTGTAGAGAATGAAAATATGGTGCTGTCTTTCTCTTGCCTAAGACTTGTAAATACCTTCTCACTGCTCTGAGGATGCAGTCCTAATCCAAGTCGCTATCAGTAAGGCCCTGCGTAATCCATCCTTGGTTTATCTGTCGCTCCCTTACTTCGTCTGAAAGAAGTCTTAGACTTGGTGGCAACACTAGATAAGAAACTTTGCATGACTTTTATATGATACAGTGTTAGGTGAATGCCTATGTGTAAAGTCCCCTCTTTCTCTTTTAGTAGCTATCATCACACTTAAAGTTGTAGGCAGGCCACATGTGACATATTTTTAGTTCCACCAAAGTGAAAATCACACTTCTCTTGTTCACTCTTGTGTCTTCAGTGTCTGGTAGGGAGGGAGCACTCAATACACATTGATTAAGCAAATACTGAATAAATGAACATGTTCAGAGCATGACTTGCAAGTTTAGCCCCAAAAGACTGGTGCACCTTGGCTTTATTCACTGGGACCCAGGCACGAGCAGTTGGAGTTCACAGGACTCACCTGTCTCCCTCCCTCCTCGGCACTCCTCCAGGTAAACAGCTTACCCTCCGGTGTTTCTACTTTCCCTGAAGCTTGTTAGCATGCTTGCTCACCCTCTTTCTCCTCAGTGCTCACTGAGGAGGCCAGTGAGGGCCTCACTCTTCCCATCTGATCTCCACACAGTGCAGTGTGAAGCTTGGTGCGTTGCATGCAGCGGTAGAAACATGATATGGTGTGGGGAAGAGAGACCATGCCTCTTGCCTGCACAACTTGTCAAGTTCAAAATATCTACAAGGAATTAGCTGAGAGTCTGTACTCTAAAGGCCATATTATTCTTCTAATTCCCACTTTTTAAGGGCAAAGCAGTGAAAGCTTACAGGGCCTGCTTGTGTTTCCTGATTCCTAATAGATAATTTAATATCCCCTGCCATGATGTGTGATGCCCAAGCAATTGATACTGAGACAAAGCTGACACTGCTTTTGGTCACTCATTTGTCTTTATTAATTCTTGAAGTTATAAAAATGATAAGTAGCCAGTAGATGCAAAATCATGTAAAGAAAACTCCCATTGCAGTCCAAATTTCCTGCTCTCAGGTAATCAGCTGACAATCTGCTGTACATCGATAATATTGGATTACTCTTCAAATACTACTAGTAAGCATCATTTCAGTACATATAGCTCTAACTCATTGTTCTTAAACTACATAGTTTTCTACGGTAATGATAAACACAATTTAATCATATTCTTATTGAGAGGCTCTCATATTGTTTCCGGGGTTTGCTACAAACAATACTGCCGTGGATGTTAGGGTACAGGTACCTTTATGCAGTAATGCATTTATTTCTAGAGTTTCAGATTTTCTAGATTTCAAAGTGGCAAAACTGAGTCAAAGTATATGTGCCTTTGAATATGTACTTTTTATTTTAATAAGTTGATTATTCTCAAGCAATTGCAGAATTTCAGGTTTCCAAGAAGATGTCTTCTCTTCCCCACCGTTATCTTAGCCTCCCAGAATCTCAGTACAGCAGTGCTGTCCTTCTGTTTCCGGGCTAGACTGGCCCCTTGTAGGGACTTCTACAGTGTGTGGTTTTTCTCATTTACTCTCCAGCCATTTCTTTTTCTAAATAGTGCCTGTTTCACTCTTCCCTGATAAGTAAGACTCATGATCTGTTCTTACTATCAGAAAAGCTAAATGGAAGAAGAAAGCCATAAATAGCTCAGAGAAAATACACATTCAGGAATATTTCAAAAATTTATCTATTACATAATTAAGCCTACACTTAGACCACAATGTTTGGCCAATAAGCCCATCCTGGGAAAAAGTAACCTGGAAATTATTTCATTCACTCGCTCTCACTCACGCTGACATATCTCCTACTGCCTTTAAAATGTCTTTATTTCTCCACCTTTTCTCTAACCTTCAGAACCTGAACTCTCCTAAATAAAGGTGTAGAACCCATGCTGTCATTAGGTTTCTCATATATTTTTCTTCTCTTTCAGAAACCTGCCTTTACTACATATTATACATTTCAAGAAGTGTAATCATACTCCATTTAACTATATTATGCAGGATTTATCTCTTCTTATTTTTTATTTTCTCCTCTTCTCCTCCTGTTTTGAGTTCTGTATCAGCCAAGTTGTCATGACATGGTCAGAATAATTCTTCAATGTTCTTGGTGGGTTATTTCTTCCTCGTGTTCTTTTTAATTGCTCAGGAGCTCATATTCAGTGTGCTTGGATTCATGGGTCTGTCCCTCACACTTGATAAGGTATATGTCTGTTTTTGTTTTTGTTGTGTTTTGTTAGTTTTCTGTAACAAATGCCCCCAAATGTGATGGCTTAAAGCAGAGCAGTTGGATTGCACGGCAGCTCCACTGGTTTCCATGTCCCTAAATGAAAACGTTAGCAGTGCAGTGCCCCTTGCTGCGGCCTCCAGGGCAGGGACATTTCCTCATCTTCTCCAGCACAAAGAGGCCACCATGCCCTTGGCTTGTGGTCCCATTTTTCTGTCTTCAAAGCAAGCCACTTTCCTTGGCTACTCTTTACAGCCACCTTTTCTTCCTCTTTATAGTCTTCTTTTCTTCCTCCTTTTCGGCCTGCCTCTACTACCTACGGAGACCTGTGTGATTCCAGGGACCCCCCCCTAGATTACCAAAACTAACCTGCCACCCCCTGGGGTCCTTAATTTAACCACATCTGCAAACCTCTTCTGCCACGCAAGGGCACGTTCACACGTTGGAGGCATGGATGTGACCATCTGGAGGGGCCATTGTTGGGGGCAGAGTGACTGACCCGGCTGTTGTCCCTACAGAATCGAGTGAACAGGAAGACAAGAGCGCAGGAGCCCAAGGTGAGACACCCTCCCAGCCTTACCCGGCCCCAGGGTACAGCCAGCCCGAAGCAGTGAAGGAGCCCATGGAGGAGGCCAAGCCCAGCAAGCCTGAGGAGAACGAGGACGTGGACCCTTTGCCTGACAACTGGGAGATGGCCTACACAGAGAAGGGCGAAGTCTACTTCATTGAGTGAGTCTCAGACAGTTCTTTGAACATTGCCAAGATCATAGATAAATGGCGTAGCCAGTGGGGATGAGGTCAGAAGAAAAGCGATTTCATTGTTTCTGCTAACGGTTTCCTTCTTGTGAGAGAATGTGGGTTAGTACTTTAACACCGTCAGGTCTCCTACCCTGCAGTCGTGTAGCTCAGAATGAATTAAACAGTTATACTGTAAAACCTGGAGTGGTCATGAGTCAGAAGGCAAACCTCCTTTTGATGTTATTGTTAAATTGGTAATAGTCCAGATTTTATAGGAAAATTCCCGGTCTCCCCCCTTTCAGGGATCCCATGCAGCTCAACTGAGATTTTTTTCCTACTGGAAATGCCCACGCTCACCATCAGGTCCTTACCAGGATATAGCTATTTAAAGCAAAATGCTTGCTGGTCACAAAATAAAGTTTTATGCATTCATACTGAGGTCAGGTGTTAATAAAATGAATTATTTTCTATAGTTCATCCCATTTCCCTTTACTAAATCCCACTTGCCAAAGAAGCTGAAATGTGAATCCTAAACTACTTGGTAATGCTCAACCTAATCTCTTTTTTCCTTTAGATGTTTCTTCTAAAATACTATTCTTCATAAGTTCTACTAATAATAATGTTCAGCTTTCCTTTTATTTTTAACAATAGGACAACTTTAAAATTTTTTAATTGACAAAATTATACATATTGTATGGGGCACAGCATTATAATTGGAGCCATGTATACAGTGTGTAATAAATCAGCACAATTAGCATTCCCATCTCCTCAAATATTACCTGTAGTATATGTTTGGAGCCCTCAAAGTCTTCTCTTGGAATTTTGGGGTATATAAATAAGTTTCGTAGACAGTAAATGCCCTCCTGTTCCATGTATTGGGACAGCTTTTATAAGGGACTGCAAAGTTGAAGGTCTTGGCCCAGAATTTAATTGTGGATGTGATTAAGACAAGCAACACATTTGCTACAAGCCATGAGATCTAGAAATATTATAAGCCCATACAGTACTCTCAGCCTCTTGTTTATATGGACCTCATGGGGGAAAAATAATAATAGAAACTGAAGTTCTTAGTGTCGGCAGTAGATAAAAATATATAAATGCTGAGTACTCGACAAAAATATTAAAACTGGATTCCCTTCCCCAGCCTGGAGTGATTCATGCCTTAGATCTCCACAGGCACAACTCAGTTGTGAAATTGAAATGTCACCACATACTAACATCTAATTCTCACGTGAAACAGGGCCTTCGGTACGTGTGGCCATGGGAACGGGGAATCAGGTGATTATTTGGCGCTGCTGGGCGCCAGTGTGGTGGAAAGGGGAGCGTTTGGCAGAGAGTGCACCCCTAGCACCTTCCCGCAGGTACTCTGTGTTTACAAGAAGAATGGAACCTTTTGTGTGACCTTGTATTACGGTAGCTGACAACACAGAGACGGCTTCCATGAAATAACTGGAAAAGAGGAAATTATATAGGTTTTTATTTAAAAAAATGGCTAACTAGAATGGTACCGATACATTTGTATGTAAAGACCTAATTTTGATATTAATAAGTGCAGCAGAGGAGAAGTAAAAGTACAAATTCTAGCTGTGAGGTCAGACATGGCACTCAGAACAACTAATGTTGAAAGCCAGAAAACTGATGATAAACACATTTCATGTATTACATAATAACTAAGCACACAGCAAAGAGTGAGATTATGTGGAAATAAAGAGAAGCCAGGATAAATTGATTAGGCAACAGTTTCCCCTATAATCGCTTCTAGACCCAGTGGTAAAAACTTCCTCTGGGATTGTAAGATGAACTTTCCCATCTGTGTCAGGTTTTAGGGCTGTGAGGAAAAGGGACTTTGGAAGATAGAAATTGTGCTTTGTGTATTTAGTAAACACTAGGGCAGGCTTGAGGGCATCTGGCACAATGGCTGTGCCCTCCTAGGCAGTCGGGGATGGCGTTCAGAGTGCATTAGATTTTGCTTCTACTCTCAACCTGATCATCAACTTGGGGAAGAGAAAGGAAAAGCCAGGAACCGTTAGCGAGCAATCTCCGAATCGTGGGACACTCACTCTGCAGAGAAGGAGAGACGGAGCAGACTCCAGAGGAGGAGAAAGGCGGGTGCAGAGTGGAGGGAAGGACTGGGCAGAGGTCGCGGGCAGGCCTGTGAGGTGTGGACCGACCGACCGGCAGAGAAGGGGGAAACCCTGGGAAGTAACTGCTCGGTTTTCTCCTTACTCCATCATTAGTGCCTTTGAAAGGCGACCAAACGATTAGCAAGATTTACTGTTTTTGTTTATTTTTTGTCCTGTTTTTTAATCTCCTTCCTAATGCTGGAGAGAAGGATTGATGGGCAATATCAGGAGCAGCGGTAGGTGGAGGTGGAAAATAAGAGGAAGCGGAGATGATTTTGTTTGCAGGACAGAGCTGATGCCGAGAGGCTGGTGTGTGCCTGCGGAGGAGGAGGCCTGGGGGGCAGGCAGGGCTGGCTGAGCTGGGAAGCAGAGCCAGGCAGAGGCCTCTCAGGGCAGGGAGAACAGGCCCACCCTTCCTCCCGATGAGAGGGTGTTTTAGAAGCTCGCGCTCCCTCGGGGTCACAGAGCAGGGAGTGCATCCGGTCCCCCACTGCTGCCTCTGGTGTCACCGGGGATTCTTTGTCCCGTCACAGTCCCTTGGGGACAGATCTGCAGCAGGGGACAGGGTTGGCACTGAGGGCCTTCTTGGGAACAGAGCCCTGCTGTGAAGTGAAGTCTGGGTAAGGCAAAGCAAGATGCGTGATGGCTAACACATGCATGACCTTGTGTGTTTACCAGGTTTTGTGTATGTCATGAGAACATTGAAAACTGACTCTGGGGCATCATGGTGCACATCTGTAATCCCAGCACTTGGAAGGCTGAGGCAGGAGGATCACCAACAGTTCAAGGCCAGCCTGGGCTACATAGCAGGACCCTGTCTCAAAAATATACATCCATGGATACATACATAATGAATACATAGACTCTCAGTAATTTCTATGAATACAAGACTAAACTTTTGTCAATTAAAAAGGAATTATTTAATAAATGAAATAAATTTTAAAAAATAAATCCAAACATTTATTTAAATTTGTGTACTGTGACTATGTGCCTTTTTTGATCTTCCTAAAGCTGCCCAGCAAGAGTTTAAACTTGTGGTCCTGTCCTGCCTCAGCCTCCCTGATTGCTGGGATCATAGACATGGGCCACGACACTTGGCTTATTTAAATCTTTTGAATCAAGAATAGCAGAGGAAGAGGAAGATCAGACAGACAAAGGAGAAAGTAAGACAAGAGAAATGGGGTGCGTGAGGGAAAAGAGCTAGCACAGCAGCGAGTCTTCCCGGGTAGGAAGCTGTGGGATTTGATCACCGGATCACCCGGAGCCCTGAGTGAGACAGCCCCGCCCCGGCTCCGGGCCGCCCCACCCCCACCCCGCGGGGGCCTCCTGGGTAAACTTGGCTGAACTGTGAAATGAAGATCATCGTAAAAGAGAAGAAGAGAAAGAAGGGAGAGAGTCTTCTATTTGTAAAGTTTATATAAATAAATTTATATCTGAACCAAAAAGAGCTTCATGGAGCACTGAATCATTTAAATGCATATTTTTAAAAGGTACATATAAACATGGGTTTTGAACTGGGGAAACAACCCTTTCTTTTCTACACAATAACGTTTTGAAGTATATACTAATTTATGTGATAGTACAAAATGATTTGTGTGCCTCAGCCCTTCAGCGGTTTTACATTTATGTATATTTATGGGGTTTTTTTGTTTGTTTTTTTGTACCTGGGGGTGCGGAGGAACCACTGAGCTAAATCCCTGGCCCTAGAGGTTTTACATTTAAAAGATGAGTTTCTGTTTTTTCTGTTTTGTCAACGGAGATGAATTAGTGGCGAGCTGTGTTTCCCAGTGTTTCCCAGTGTTTATGCTGCTTCTTCTGAGGGTTTTTTTGTTGTTGTTGTTGTTTTATCTTTTGGTACCAGGGATCGAACTCGGGACATTGTGCTTGCAAGGCAGGCTGTGGAACTACTGAGCTAAATCCCCAGCCCCTTCTTCTGACAAATAATAAAAGCAGATTTCTTTCATCATTTAGGATGATATTTAATGGGAAAGGTGAATAGGTGATAAAGTACTTTTAAAGAACGTAATTTTAAATTGCAAGTGAATGCACTTTTCCAAACATGCTTTAAAATAGTAATAGGAATTTTACTGTTTAGGAATTTTAATAAGACTTTTAAATGCATAGTATTGTGAGAAACCAGTCATTTCTTTGACTTATACCATCACCTTCATTAATATTAGCTTTTAAAATAGGCAGAATATTAATTATCCATGTAAATGAGGGAAATGTAAATGTAAATGAGCCATCAAATACAGAGTGCCTACATTAGTCAGTGTGTTCAGATTACCTTAACAAAAACAGCTAATATGTTAAGCATTAACACTCTTAATCCTTATTTTATGAAACTCAGGCCTAGAGAAGTAAATTACTTTGTGCTGAGAAGTCCTATAACAGCCAAGATTCTTTGATCCTATTTATTCAGTAAGTGTTTGTCAGACACCTACCACATGCTGGGAACCATTTTAAATTCTGAGAATACAGCAGTCGACAAACTGACAGGGCTCATATTTTCATGGGATGTGTTCTGTTTCCAGGGTCCTTGTCCTTGACCAGTTTACTACCGTATCTACTTTGTGCATGGTATGTGATAACCGTCCCACAAAGTTCTTGAGTTTTCTCCATTTCACGGGTGAAGCTCTGAAGTGCCCTTGGACAAATTACATCCCAAGATCACACTACAGAGCTATCCCTATTATCCCAAACTTCCTCCAGTTTATAAACAAATATTGGCCAAAGTAAATGTCTGTATTACAAATGGTATTTGTTTAATAAGTTTCTTGGTCAAAAATTCACTCTTCCAGAATCTACATGTTTCATAAAGAAGAGCTGCCATGGGCTTAATCTGGATGAACGTGCTTTGAGAATCCC